CCGAGTTTATGCATCCTGCCAGAGAAGTTATCTAAAACTGTCAATCAGCTAACTCTCAAAACATGTCCCTGTACTTGCTCATTCACGTCGTAACTTTCACTAATCAACCAGACCGTAAGCAGAGTCACTAACACGCACCATATTATCTGATTTTTCACTTTACACTGGACATCCAACACTTATCTTAATTGAAAATTAAAATACGTTTATTTTATTTATTTTTTTCAATTTTTGATTGTTAAACCAATGGCAATATTTGAAGTTTTGTGTATATGTAGATATAATAGGTAAATGTTTTTTCTTCTAAAAGTTGTTTTGTCCTGAGATTGAATCCGCTTTTCTTAGCTTTTCATATCATTTGCGCTATCCTAAACTTTAGACAACTTGAAGCATCTAAGTTCCCTAGATTTACCCACATTCGTTTTGTCTGGAATAAAAAGATTGATTGTGACGCGTACCTTTACCCTTAAAGTAATAGACGATATTTTCACTTTTTCTATGCCTCCTTTACTTTGTAATAAACATAATTCAACCTAATAGGGCAATACAATAGTTAAGGATAAAAAAACTAAATAAAATACAAACGATTTGTTTTATTCCCGTCTAATTTCTGTGACTAAGCCCCATTACATTCCTAATGTTACTTAACGTGAGTATTTAACAGTGAAACCCTATGTATAAAATTGTATTTTAGATATTTATGATTGTTATTTACATTATAATTATTATGTCATGTTCTAGTTAGATATGTAGTATGATTATGTTTAAAATAGATAATACGCCTATACAATATACTACAATTTACTCGATTGTATTTTACACAAAGAGACTCCATATTCTACATACCTTGTATATCTCAGACTATTATTACTTGAGAATAATTTTACTAAGTTTCCATATCCTTCCAGAACGAACATATTTTATTACACAAAAGCTATTGTAATGATAGCGTAAAGAAACAAGGCAGTTGTATTACGTTATAGTTTTTGTTGTATTCAAACAAAGTTTTAGTATCTATGTATGTATCCGTCACTTTGTTGGCTAAGACTTGAAAGTATCAATATAGTAAAATTAACATTACATATCTTTACTACAAAAAAATCTTAAGTGAAGACCTAGTATTAATTTTTTCGTTATTACAATTTCATTTTGCAAATTTCCGTAGGAAAAGGTATCGTCCCTTAGTACATTTTATCGTTTTGTTCCGAATATACACTGGGGTATAGTCCGCTCAGATGCTTTGGACTACAAAACAAAGTTGCGTTTATTAGATTTATATCCATTTCATTGTTACAATTAAAGTATAACATACTTTAAAACGTTAGATTTTTTTAAACACAACTGAAATTGTTATTCAAAAAGACTTTCGACTTGAAAAGGGTTAACAAGTGACATTCAAGATATTTATAGCTTATCGATTATTATGTCCAATCTTAAGCCTTATATATCAAATGTCAATTAATATTTATCTATGTCCGAAACGTACTTCCAAAAAATTATCGGCTCCACCGTATCATTATCGTTAAGTAATATTACATTAATATAATTGCGTTAAATGTACATACTTTCTCTATTCCAAAACATTAACAATCCGCAACATCGCATATACTGCCTCATTAGAGAAAACAATGGGTGCATTATCAACACAGCAATTGCCTATAATCCTGTATTGTGGGTTCAGCTGACAATTCAGCAAACACTGATTTAATGAAAACCCTCAATCAAATACATAATTTCAAACTACCTATCTCGCCAAACAAAAAGCTGACATCACTGAGTTCTATAGTTTTATTACATTCATGTTACGGCACAAATTAACAATGAAGCGAATTTCCAATACTTCCTATTTGTTTCTTAAGAGAAATTGACAGTAATTGATTTGTACCCTGCGAATCCCACTCCAGCAATCTTAACGAACAACTTACAAGTTACCTTCCTGTTGTGCCGATTTCATTACTGATTTCTCGATGATAATTGAATATTATTTTATTCTTAGATTACTTTTTCCTCAAACTGAAGTTACCTTGTATCAGAAAAATCTTATGTAAAGTTCATTACTGTACTTTTTTTTCCTTTCCAACTAATGCATTTGACTGGGTAAACTAACGAGGAACAAATATGAATCAATAAATTCGATGTCAGTAAATCGAAAATTAAACAGTTTATTTGTTTGTTTAATTGGACGCTATTTGAAGATTTGTTTGCGTTAGTTAGCCCGTTGATCGAGGAAGGATACATTTCAATCTACGAGCAATAGGAACAAAATATTAATATTTATTATTATTTTTCACTCAGTTATTAAGACCCATAAAAATAATCGTGTAAGAGACATTAAATTTGTGTCGGAAAGGATGTATAAAGTATATATATTTCTGTAATTTAGTCAAATCTTTCAGTTTGATAATAATAGTTAAAATTTCCAAAAGTTACTTGACACAATAATAAAAAATTCTAAGTAACTTCTTAAGAAGATGACAACAACAAATCAATGAGTCTGTTATCTTTCTCTCTCTAATATATTATCTTTTTTATCTAACTTTTCCTCTCCAACACCGAGTAAACAAAAAAAATTATTAGTCGACAAGGAAATTTATGAAATTTACTTAATATTTAGAAATCATATTTGTATGGTCTAGTTTTCGAAGCCAATACCAAAAGACATTTAAAGTATTAAGTTAATGTTTCTAAAATATATTTAAATGTGTCAAGTTATAAAAGATATCACATATTCTTATGTAACAATAAACGTTTTAATTACATTGACTCTCGATGGTCATTAATTTTCTGAATAACCCAGTGTGCTTGACCTCCCAAAAATATCGCGGATAAGCTTGATAGCTCTTCCGTTTAGTTTACTATCTATTCAGTGACAGACACAGTACTAACTTCTAAGCAATTAATTAGTCTTTTGAGGCATGAAAATATTTTTTTATAAGTTATTTCTACGACATATTGAGCATTTATATTGCCAACGTTCTTTGTTTTGCATATATACAATTCCTGAAAAATATCCCAGTTAAATATATCAGATACATAAAATGATTCTCGTAGGAAATTATTAAAACAAATCGAATGGAAAATGATATTATGCCATCGATGTGGAATAGGAGCTCACGTGAGGTATTTTTTTATGAAAATATATGGTTCTTACTTCAATTGAATAATTTAATAATAAAATATTGTTCAATACAATGTATTACGTATATTAAAAAGAGATTTATATTTTTATATTAAGATTGAAATATGTTAAGAAACAAATAATGAAGACCGATGTAATATAGTCAAATCGGTGTCAAGGATATTTAATAGGTAACATCTTTGTAAGATACATTGTTTTAAAACAACTGTGCGCGTGAAAAAACACGAAGAGATAACAAATTTTTAAATATCTTACGCTTGCTTATTATCAATTAAATTTTTCTCGCTTATTGACGATTCAAAGAACTCGATGAAAATATAAATACTTATATAACGGCAAAATTATAATTTAATTGAGTTATTATTTTAATATAGGGTCAGAATAAAAAATATGTTTTAAAACCAGCAGCCACAAAAATTATTACTATTGTAAATCATTTTAATTTATTATTAATTTAATCACTTGCAAAAATACTAAGGTAAATATAAACTGTAATTTTAATCAACAAATCAATATCTGTTTTATTACTCTGTAAGAATTAATATTTCTCGGAGTAAAACAATAGCTTTTCGCATAATATGGCTTGAGATAATTTAATAACTAGAATCATTTAAAATTTTAAACGAATCTCTTGGTGAATATTCGCAAGGCACTACAAAGATAGAAATTTATATGCATACATAAATGTAAAGCGCGTTATATATGCCTAAGTTCAGAACATCTAAAATTCTAATGATATTGTTACTTACTCAGTAAATATTGAGCTTACAACAATAACACAGAAGTAAGACTGTGTATGTATAAAATATTATAGTCTATAATAGTCTATAATTTATAGACGAGTCATATGCTTGTACCTACATTGCTCAATAAGGTTAATTTTCTTTACCACTTACAACTATACATCCAATTTATAATAAGCAATTTCTGTAGTTACTATTCTAACACATTCATCCAAAATATTTCATAAAAGGGAAATAAAAGATATTATCATCCACCTAACCCTTTAAACCCTCGCATTCATTATGCCCTTCGCGTTTGCAAATAGGGCTTGTCGCAACCGAAGTGTTCTTCAAACAATAATACATATAAGATCACCAGTTTTATTCCTGTAGTGTAGAAACTACTCTGAACCCTTTGTTTTTACTTGGCGAAGCTGAACGTTTGTTTATTGGCCGGGTAGCATATGACGACGAGGGTTTAAATTAAATTAAGCTCGTCGATATTCCCATCGGGTTGCTTTATAACTTACCTCGATATAATCAAACCTCATCGACGCCCCTTATTTAACTCGCAATTTAAATGTATATTTAAATTAAAACGTGTAATTTATATCGCTTACCCTTTATGCCCGCTCCGTAGGTTAATTTGTTTTAAATAATATTTAATTTTGTAATTTGTTCATAATTTTTAATAAAGCTATTATGACAAACGTGTTTTTAACATATTAATGTAAACCACTCACACGGTAATTTTGAAATTCCCGCATATTACAATTTTTGTTATACACAATTATTATTTATTTACAAACAAAAGTTACCGACTTCAACCGAAACAGATGAACGGCTTCATATCAAAGAACGATCAAATAAATCTTCGCAAAAGATATCTAGTAACTTTGTAGAATTCAAATTATCTTATATTATATAACTCATTTGAGTTGAACATTTATGGAAAGCCGTATGAATAATCAAAATCAGTTTCCATGAACGTCGGCTTATGACTTATATATAAATATATGGTATATCATATACATATGTATATTGAATAATCCTACTAGAAACATATTCAAATCCATTGTAACAATAACATTTTGTTTGGGAAAATTTTAATCTTACTATTCTATATTAACAGGTTCAACATGTCATCACCGTCCAAACAACGCTATAAAAAGCAAACGTGGTGCAAGCGATTGTTACATAAGAGGCTGCCAATCACAAAATGGCTGCCTGAATATAATTCCGAAAAGGCACTCGCTGACTTCATAGCTGGTGTGACAGTGGGGTTAACTGTGATACCACAAGCTCTGGCATATGCGACCCTCGCCGGCCTTCCCCCACAGGTAACTCATACAAAGTTAATTAAAAACTGCCTTGGTTTCATCCATATTAGTATTCGTTTTTATTACACATAAAACTATAATAAACAAAAAGTGTCTATGTGTTTGTCACTCGTACATAACAAAGCAGTAAAACGATGTTTATGAAACTTGACAAATAATGTATCTTATATAGCAGAATAACATACAACGATTTATAAGCATATTGTTTTGCCAAATCCAGTCCTGCGGGCAAAGCTGCGGAACTGTAGTCTCAAAACAAATACAACTAGACAGTTTTGCGATATTTTTGGATGATGTATATTTTTAAAATACTTCTCCATAGTAAAAATTCAATAAATAAAATTACCTCCCTAAAACACTAGAAGAAGTAACGACGTTATTTCAATTTATTCCCGTGTACATCTCTTACGTTGTTTTGTTATACTGAAACTGAATTTTATTTTGTTGTGTCAAGTCGTAAAAGTAAAACCCTTAATTCAGTTTGCTCGTCCCACTGCTTTCTTTTCCCAAGAGTTTACAACCTATCAGTATTGAATTTCTTAGACAGATGTGCTTCGAACAGCAAAAACCCCGTAAGTAAAACAATATTTACGGCCTCCTATCAAATACGTAAAAGGATTTCCTCATAGAGAAACGTTTCAACATTACAAAGTAGAACAGTACAAGATAAAAAAATATTACTTTCGTTCAGACTTTAAAAAATATACTTGGACAATTCAATTTTATGTTCCTATAAAAAAGTTAAAAAATATGTACCTATAAGATTTATAAATATGTATAAAAAATAAGGAGAATTACTATAATAAGATATCTTTGTTAATTAATTTATTTCTTTGACACACTTGGCTTTGCGAGTAGTAAATACATCATTATCCGACAATACATTGTGATCTTAACCGTTCACCAAATATAAGTAAGGTCTTCTAATAATAGAATATATATATATTGCCGAAGTCAATGGCTTACAATTAAAAATAAATAAGTAATATCTTTAATATTAAAATAATATTAAAATGTTTTGTTTGTAAATAGGAATAGATTTAGATTTAGATTGTAGTCACAGACATATGTTTAAGACGGACTTATTACAGAATTTTGACAATCCAAAGAACATTAATGGTAAATATTAAAGTGCTATTTGAATTTTCCTCAGTTCGTTTTCAATAATATTGTTAAAAACATTCCGAAGCGTAACATACAGAATACATCTGTATTTAAATAAAGACCCGAACAGTAACCATGCGTACTAGTAAGTAACAGTGTTTAATAATCAAAGTATAAAAATGATCTCCACACGTCATACGAATGTTTGAAATGTTCAATTAAACACGCTGACAATTATTTTGAATGAATTAAAATCCTAAGACATTTTCATGTTTGACTCTCTACTAAGATCGTTGTTACTATCACTTCACCTACAGAAACAATTTAAAATATTTGCTTACAAGAATTTGATTACAAAAAATATACAACCGTTATAAATTATGAACTAATAGCCTTTAACATTTTAACCAATTTATTACTGTGTTATCCATCGCAAATTAAATTGAAAAACCATAAAACTGACTGTACAGTGTTTGTACTGTAAAAGAATTTTCAAATCCAACACACAACTAACTAATTGCACTAATTTGTACGCGCCTATCCGATTTTATTTTTACAGTAGATTGTTAAACTTTTTTTCCTATTTATTTGAACTGATATATCGTTAAGCCGGGGTATAATAACATTTTTTAATCCGATCTAGTGTTCTAAAAGGATAAGTTATGCATTCAGAAAATAAATTCCAATTGAGAGAATAAATGAAACCATTTAGAATGAAAATCGTAACGGAATGAGGAGGATTTAATCTGCGTGAAAATGACAAGCTATTTTGCGTTAACCCTCTCAGTGACGCGTTATAGCCGTGAACGAATCATACTCGTTCATTAACATTACACTCTATCCATTAACATATACATATGTATGTAAATAAACTCCCGCTGTATACAATAAACGGTTGTATTCATATTATATTAGAGTTCATTACTGTACCAAAGATTTTGATGAATGATTAATTCGACGTCATATTTAATGTAACAAGAGTAATCGGACAGATATTCGGTTTGCTAACTAATTTGAAGTATGAAGAGATCATATATGCGTTTTTGTTGTATGTAATTTATGACATAAATATATTGGTCGTGGTTAATAGTGTTAATTATTGTTAATTTTTAATCATTAATTAACGTTGCTTGACATAACAGATAATAGGTATTATTGTTCACTCATTAAATATTATCTATTTAAGTTTATTAAACTCGTACCAATTTCAACATTTTCGTTTTCTTATCATCTTTTTTGTATGGATGAAACGGTATTGAAACGAATAAAGTTTCAATCTAGTTTCTTGTTTGAGCTATTTACAGATGATTCACAGAATACAAAGTGTAGTCTACAAAAAATAATACAAAGACAAATTCAGACTGAGAAAATCGGAAATTACTACTGTACTATATCAATAATTAAAATAATAAGTACATGATGATTGCGATACTAAAATACTAATTAAATTATGATTGATACACAACGCCAATTCACTTACTCAGTGATGTCATTTTGATCACTGAGAGCGAATTTGAATAAGAAAAATTTATTTCATAATCTAAGTGCAGTTCCATCTTTGATTTCAATCTGAAAACTGCAATAATTTAAGCATTTTTAATTATACTAAAGTAGTTTCGATTTGTTTATGAATGAGAATATTCAAAGTCGTAGTGGACCATTTTTTATTACGGTAGTCTATTTTATTTCTCTTAAAATTTTGCTACAAAATTATACTAATATTTGACGACTGTACTTGTATTTCTTGTTTTACATAAGTTTTGCAAACCACCAAGACATTTAACTGATATATGTGATGCATTAGCGAAATTATTTCGTTTCAGTACGGCCTCTACTCGTCGTTTATGGGATGTTTTGTATATATTTTATTTGGTTCATGCAAAGATATAACTCTGGGACCAACAGCGCTCCTGGCGCTCATGACATATGAACAAATACAGGGTAGAAACTTCGACTACGCTGTGCTTCTGTGTTTCCTAACAGGAGTTGTACAGCTGGCTATGGGAATATTGCATTTAGGTATGTTTGCCTTCACTTGGTAACGTTACAAATTAATTCTTGTTATGAAGCAACGATGTTATTGTATGCATATATATCTTTAACAACAAAATACAAGTACGTATTTTGTGTAGTTCTATTGAATTAGTATCATTTTATTAAAGCTATTAAAATTGTTATTATTTAACATCAATCCGTAAAACTGAGATGACTTTGAAAGCAACTGATGACTATCGCTAATATTGTTCTTAAATTTATATTTATGAAATTAAATTAAATAAAACTATGTTTATTAACTATCCAAATACTTTCTTTATTCGTAAATATGAGGTGAAAAATATTTGAACATAATAAAATAGCCCGACTGTTTTGATACGTTGTAACCCTGATATAGACGAAATTGACGGCGAAGTTAAAAAAATATGTACGTGACGGTCATCTCTATGAAGTAGGCCGTGACAGTGACAAGATAATATAATCTCAAGATAACCCCCAATACGAGAATAGATAAATCATATCGTGCTTGTTATATATTGTTGTATTTCCTTATATTATCGAATTCAAATATTACAAGTTGTGTAGTAATCCATTTTTAGATAAAATCTCTGAGTCATACCATCAAAGTGTTTTTATCTTGAGAGTTCATATTTAAAGATCATGAGAAACTAATTTAAAAGTTTTTTGAGATAGTATGAATCTTTGTACTTCTTTTTAAATATATATATATATGAGTTTAATTCTCTTTTAAACAGGTGTTCTAATAGATTTCATATCAGTCCCAGTGACGGTAGGTTTCACTTCAGCAACGTCAGTTATAATAGCTGTGTCACAACTCAAAGGACTTTTGGGACTACAATTTAAGTCGAGAGGATTTTTAGACACATTGAAGAAGGTAAAAAAATCTTTTCTATTAATATATTTTCAGTGATTGTTGATATTATATTAATAATATTTCTTTTTCTATTTTAGGTATTTCAAAACTTACCGAATGCGAAATTAGCTGATAGTACGTTAGGTGTATCGTGCATAGTTATACTTTTATTAATGAGGGTAAGTTGTATTTTTTATATGTATATAGAAAAACGCGTAAACACACACACATACATAAAAACCCACACATGTAAACATCTATCAATATGATCATGTTACTAAACGTTGAACCTTCTTAAATTACACTAAAAGCTTCCATATAAAAACATTGCTATATCTTTTTATGAACCTAAATTCACCGTAAAATGTGTATTATTGATATATTGAAAGGCACAATTATGTTCACTGAATAACGTCGTAATAAACATCCCTTATAATTAATCACCGGATCGCGTGATCTTCGTGTTTATTTTTAGATTATATATTTCATTATGATTGTATCCCGCTATATATAAAAACCTATAAATATAAATAAATGTACCAAACACCGTTATCTGTTTTATATTAAAAATTGATTTTTGAATCATGATCGTATAAGTCACGCTTGATAACAAGATTCCTTTGAAATATTTATCAATAGCTTTTATATTTACCAAAACGTTTTATATCTGTATTCAAACCGGGTAATTTAAAAACCTTTGATGAAATTAAAATTCTTTTTTTACGTACATAACTCATAACGGCGATGATAATTGAAAAAAATACTGTACATGTTTCCAGAAAATGAAAGATTTAAATTTAGGCCAAGAGCGAAAAGGTTTGAAGAAAGCTTTATGGCTATTATCAACTTCGCGGAACGCTATCATCGTGCTCCTTTGCTCTTTAATGGCTTTCGCATGGGAAAAGTATTCAGAATCACCGTTCAAACTCACTGGCACCGTCAAGTAAGTTCACGGTTACTTTATGTACAACATATTTTATCAATTTGATTTATAATGTTCGGACATTTCAATCAATATCGGTTTGTTTCTTTGAAATTTTCATTTCTATCAATTGATAAGGATCACAAAATTAACTTTCGTAATATATAATTAAAAGTGCAGTCACAAGAAACGTGATATTATATCGTAAATTTTTATTACAAACAATTATACATATAACAGAATATTGTATGTTACTTCCGAAGGGATGTTTTTATATTTATTTGAAAAATACGGAACCAAGAATACTGTTATCGTGTCATGAAATTTTTATGTAAAGATAAAAAGGTTCAGGTTCTTCATAGCGAAGAGGTTTTAAGCTTTAACGATACATATCTTTACATTTGTGAAGATTTTTCTAAGAAAGTACTTTAAAAGATCTTAGGATTCTTTTCGAGGTTCTTATTAAAACTTTTCCTTTAACATAAAGTGTAAATACAGTTTAAATGAAATGAAATTTCGGTAACATTTAATGAAAATTTTAATTTTATTTTGTTTACTTTTTTCAAACCAGCTTTTGGTCGCTACCAAACTAGTAAGAAAGGCGATTTTTTCTTATTAAAATTTTTATTACAATTAGTGATATTTAATTTTCATGTACATATATTTTTATAGCTGTTTTCTAATATAAGAATCATAAAAAATAGATTTATAACAGGATGAAAGTCTTCAATCAATAACTATTAACATAAATTTTCGCTTAGCCGTTGGCATATTGAATGTAATTATGTATGAATAAATGAATTTAACGTCCTAAGGCCTTGTCTTGAAATTGATCAGAAATTTTCGCCAATATAATATACGTCATATAGATTAGTCTGCACTACAGCGACTTTGTTAAGAGTATATAAAAAATTTAACAAGCAAACAGAGCTTGTTTCATTTAAAATTTATATCATAGCTATGGAAACCTCTAAACGGATTTCCGTCAAATATTGATTTACGATAGAACCAAGCAACAAAGAGCGCTATTTCAGAGAGGGTTTGCCGCTATGGTCCATGCCACCGTTTGCTACATCATACGGGGGTACAAACGTTACCTTTATTGATATGTGCTCGGATCTCGGCTCGTCGATAATACTGGTACCCATTATAGGAGTACTTGGAAACGTCGCTATAGCTAAAGCATTCGGTAAGGCATACATATATAGTTAATAGAATCATTTCATAATTAATTAATATATGTCGGTTTATAAATGTATATGTTATAGCGTAAGTAATAATTTCCAGCCAGCGGTGAATCAGTAGACGCTACGCAGGAACTCATAACCCTCTCACTATCCAATATACTCGGTTCATTTGTGAGCGCGATGCCAATAACCGGCTCGTTTTCACGAAGCGCTGTGAACCATGCTAGTGGAGTTTGTACACAATTTGGCAGTGTTTATACAGGTAAGAATATCATACAATATACTGTATTGAAATATACACTTTATATTCCATTAATTTTAATATATATTAAACTATAATGTAGCTTTGGTACTTCCTTTAATGAGAACTTGCAAGTTATATGTATGTACTCCAGTTGTCTAACATTACGAAAACATTTAATACACCTAAAATGCATTCCCGCTTCTATTTATTTAGTATATTTTATGAGCATTTTAATCAACTGCATTCAACAAAAATACAGTTTAAAATGAAACAGAGACGAGAAAGCACATTTTATTAACTTTTTATTTATTCAACCATGAATCACAACACAACTACGCTCCGAATACAATTCTTTTAGTTAGATTTATAAATACAACTAATACAAAACTATTTGTATTTTAAATATATTGTTCTATGCAAAATAAAAAAACTCTATGAATTAAATAAATTATCAACTAACTGTATCAACAATACACGGATTCAAGCATTAATACACGGATTAAGAATATAATATAAAAAAATAACTAGAGATATTTAATATTGTTTATCATTTTTCAAGTCTCTCATGTATTTCTCAGTAACAACTGTTATTAAGCGTAAAATCCTTACTATGAATCTTGGTACACAATGTAAACAGTTGTTGACATTGTCCAATTTGACGCACGCGATGTAAAGCTTGGCTCTATATCTTGCCGTTACCAGACATTTAGTGTACGTATTCTTGTTAGGTAATTTTCAGTAAATCTTTGATACTTTAAATATATTGAAGTTATGCTTCATTAGTTTATTCTGTTATATCGAACTATACATAACTACCAAATAAAATAAACAAATATGTATAAGGCTTGGATAGTAGAAGTTAAGTTTAATGTGCGTTAGATAGGGCCCTTAAACCTACACCTGGGTCGCAAATCCCCGCACCCGTACGGTGATTCCTTTGAATGCTCAGAAAATTCGTTTCTGTCTTTATTAGAACGTTTTATTAGGAAAAAATAAAGGAAATATATATATAAGTTGTTTGTGATTATCCTTCGTTTTATTTCTAATTAATGATAGATGATAAACAATCGTTTGCACCTTTGTAACTTTTTAATTCGTTTAATGTAATGTTTTCAGGTATTTTAGTTCTTCTAGCACTGAGTCTTCTGACGCCATATTTCTATTTTATTCCGAAAGCATCTCTCGCCGCCGTAGTGATATGTGCTGTGGTTTTCATGATTGAGTACGAGGTAATATAATAGTTATTACATATAATTCATAATGAGCATTTCATTTTATAAATTAAATAGAAATCCGATTTAATTATATCATTTTTCGCATAAATAGTTATTATTGAAATCCTGCTTCGTTATTTTTAATGACATGTTCATGGAAAATACGAAAATATGAATAATAAATATTATGATTAATTGTATAAGTTGTAATATATTAAATTCAATATAATTTTATTATTAACAAATATTTTTGAACTATTACTTTAAAATTATATTTCAGATAAATTTTATATTATTTGACTTTTATTCTTTGATGATTATTACAAAAGCAACTGATTTCATATCTTCGTAATTATCGATTCAAAATTCTCCATAGATTTCTACTTAAAAATTTTAATACTTTAACTTGTAGTTATATGTCTTGAAAATCCTAATTTATTATTTACGAAGCACTAGCACACTACGAGTTCACAAATATTGACATACAATGTTCACTATACAAGATATTTCCCAATAAATTAATGAAATTAAAATTTAATATATACTCTTATCAAAAGACTCTTATTCTTATTCTTCTTCTACCTCGCAATTTCCCACCTCTAACCAGGGTCTGCCTTACATGTTATGAATAGTTTTGGCTAATTGTTTTTATGACCGGCCGCCTGCCTGAAAGTACATATGACTCGGAAAAATCACATTGGTACTTGCCAGGGCCAGGATCTTTATCTTTAGGATTATGACATAATAATGTTTTTATAATAATTATTATATTTAACATATTCCAGGTTGTAAAGCCTATGTGGCGCTCCCGCCGGGCGGATCTCGTGCCAGCATTCGCTACGTTCGCTGTGTGTTTGGTTGTTGGTGTTGAAATCGGTATAGTTGCTGGAGTACTATTGAATGTGTTACTACTGTTATACCCCAGTGCTAGACCGCAGATGGAAGCGGAAATTGTTGCGGTAAATATATTAATACTAGTATTTGACCGCGACTTCGTTTGCGTTAATTTCAGATTTAGTAATATATTAGCTGAATGCGTGAACTCTGTTCGGAACTACATGCAAATTAGCAGATATTGAATTTTATTAGGTACTTTATTTCGATAGCACTTTATTAAATAACCTGTATCCCTATAATGATTCTAAGCTGTAACCCACCAATTTCATCGATAACTGTAATTTTCAACACTATTAATAAATACTCCTATATAGGATTTATATTAAGTTAGAATAAACATCATATTATGTATTAGATTTTTGGTTCAGGCTTATCGTTGGCAAACATTTCGATTATACAACTTGAATTATACAACTGATATTTCTCTTAAACGGCTTCAAAATAATGAAGATCTTAATTTGATTACTATAATGTAGTAACTTTTCACATTCATGTTTCAATGCTCCAAATTTAAAATTGACGACAATTTTTGTATACGGCATTACTTCCAATCCTAAGAGAATCTTGACTCAAATTATTGTATCTTCGATTGTCATACAAAATTTCAATTAATTCAATTCCGTAGTTTTTTCATAAGTAACTAACAAACATACAAGTAAAAAAACGTTTGTGTACAATATTTGCATAATTCAATACACTTATACATTAATAAATATCAAACTCGCATCAATCATACAAAATAGTACATTTTTTTTAAGAATGTTTTCACGACCATTTTTGTGTAAGTATATACTAAAATTTAATAAAATTGCTTGTGCAATTAATGTTATAAAAGTGAGAAAAAAATTTAAATCTAAGCCTTTTTCAATGAACGTTCGCCATTTTATTGCACAGCCAAGGTTAACACAATAAATTTAACAATCTAAATTCGTTTCGCATGAACTACGTCCTTGCTATTTAATGTGGTAATTGACAAACATTCATCTATTATTTAATTTTGTCATTACAATAATACCGTAATCTGTTTACAAAAAAAAACCTCTGTATAGTAAAACATACCACATAATCTATAAAGAATTCTGTGATATATTGGACCATCATAATTTGACCCTCGCTTCTAATTAGACCGGTTCTTCAATCACGTGACAACAAAATTAGGCACAATAATATTTTTGTATAAATCACGTGTAGATCTTGTTGTTATCACGTGTATTCTTGCATATCATATGAGTATAACAAAGTTGTTCACACTAAAACAGTATTCAATGAATTAGATTCACACTTTAATATGCTTTATGTAAAATATAAAGAATTTATATAAATTTAGTTAATGTACCCACCAATAAGAAATTTTCATATATACAGGGTGACTGGTGAATTACTATCAATATTTAAGGAGAATACTCGGTACATGATTCTCATACGAATTATGTAAAAAAAAAGGCACTTAATTTTTGACAAAATTTCCGTATAAATAAATAAAGTGTTGACACGTTCCAAGTGTTCCAAGTGTGGACGCGTGCGGCGGCGTGCTGATACAACACTACGCCGCCGTACGCGTGTGTGAGTGTATACCTAATCTGTAGGGTGTTCACACGATGCGTAATTAATTACATAACTTTTGGTTACCTTTACTTAGAAGTTTATTAATATTTATGTTATATTAATTTTTATTTTGTCATATATGATCGTCAAATATCACGTCCTCAAATATCGATAGTAATTCATCAGTCACCCTGTATAGTAGTAGCACATAAAAATAATATGAACATATATTATATAACTAGTTTTTCCCCGCGACTTCGTTCGCGTTAGTTTGGTCAAGAGTAATATATGTAGGTATAGCTGACCAGGCGAACTTTATTCCATCTTAGAGGCCATAAATAATCAGGTTTTGCCTGTTTCAATCAAACAGAATGATTGACATATTAGTTAGTTGTCAAATCTAATGTCAAAAAAAACGTTTGTATGGGAAATAGAAAAGAGCTGTTTTTAGGGTTTTCCCGGCAATTATTCAGATTTTTCTCACCTTTTATACCTTCCCTGAACCTCCACGAACATTTCAAGACTAACATAAGATAAATCCGTTCAGCCGTTCTCGAGTTTTAGCGAGACTAAGGAACAGCAATCCATTTTTATATATATAGAAGATAAGGATGAAATACAAAAAATACTACATAGTAAGACCATAAGTTCCTTATTACAAAAGGAGATTAATTAAACTTGTAAATTAATTTTTTAACCAACTATTGATTACAGAACTCGTCCGGATCCAACTATTTACTGATAACAGTTGGTAATAGTCTTTACTTCCCCGGCGTTGAATATATAAGACAGTACGTGAGCCGCGCTGCGAAGAAGCAGGGTGGATGTAGCATGCCTGTTGTCATCGACTGCAGATATGTACTTGGTATGTTTATATAATGTTAATTGAACATAGTTATGTATTTAGTTATATATGCTAAAAGGGATGAATTACGTATGCATCTCATACAATTTAGTTCAAATAATTGAGCAAAATGAAGTTTTATTACGAAAATAAAAATAAATATGATCTGTGAAATTGTTTGTTATTTTTTAGATTCACACCAATAAAATTATTTAATATTACTTTTAATTATGAGTTTTAAACTAAAATTCGCTGTTGCACGATCTAATTAATTAATTTCAATAAATTTAAATTAAGATACAAAACATAAATAAATCAATCATGTATATGTATAATCACAAGTTTGACCATGGTTACACATTTAAATCCTGGCGGAATCTTTTATCAAGGCACACAATACATGGTCACTTTAATCACAATATTTCATTATTAGTTTTGCAATTTTGTAATTTATTTGAAGCTATTCGCAAAATTTCAAATAAAGAGTTAAGAATGAAAAACTCATCGACACTAAGGAGATTTGAATCTGCCAACTTGTCGATATCGCTTTTCAGTTGCTTTACATAATAAACTATCAAGTTTATGAAATAATAAACTTTATAATATGATTAAATGATAATCTTTTTTCTAATAATATTTGTTTATGAGTAAACAAAAATGTTTTTTTTTTCTATAAAGGTGCAGATTTTACCGCCGCTAAGGGTATCTGTGCGTTGTCAAATTCATTAGCATCACGTGGTCAGCCGTTAGTACTGTTAGCGCCAAGAAAATGTGTCGCAGATGTCTTTATAGGCGCCGGCTCAAGTGTTGTCGTGGTGATGACGGCCAATGAATTGGATGATACATTACAAGGTGAGGCATTATTATGGCCAGATTAGTTATAGTGGTATAAGCCTTGGCTTTTATGATATGGCTTACATTATTTTATAAAGTGGTAACATTTGAGCCAACTCATAATTGCTTTCTTACCGTCAGATCTAAATTTAGGTTAATACCATCACAAATGTAATGGATATTGCTTAATTTTATCAATATCTATGAACATTCTTTTTTTTTTTTCATTACCAAAATATCTGTGATTTTACAGAGTTTTCCTAGCAATTCTAACAGCGTATAATCCTTATTCAATACTAAATCGTCCCAACACAGACTACCTGATCCCACTGCCCGAATAAATTTTATCTATGTAACAATTATAACCAAAAAAACTTTATTAATATTAATCAGTTTATAACATATTTATTTTCAGATTTAACAAATCAAATAGCCCTAAAGGACATCAATGGGAAAGAGAAAAGAATAACCCCACCGCCTTCATACAATACTCTCAACCAAATAAGTGACGAAGTTGAAGTCATTATATCTGACAGTAATAACCTACCATTACTGAGCAACCGTCATAAAACAGTCTCAGAAGAGGTCAATGACACGTGATCTTTAATTAAAATTAAATTAATATAAGCTATATTAATAAATTATTTCTACAATGATTCAATTTAATGTTATGTATTTTTTATTATTAATTTTAGACTAATTAAATTTGTTAGATAAAAAACTTTAGTTACCAGTATATCTTGACCTGTGTCGTTACTTTCGATGTGAAAGTAAATTGTGTTATTTATAATTTACCAGTATAAGTTTTTATTTCAATACCATTGAAAGAAAATATATGATTTTAAGAAAATATGACTATGCTTATTTAAATTCGTATTTCATTAATAAACATTTAGCTATTAAATTTTTATAAATAAAAAGAAACATGATTTAGGTAAATATTTCTTTTATTAAATTAAAAAATATTAAATAATAAAATAAAAATCATCTTAGCACCATAAGTTACAATAATAAATGCATTTTCTGACTATACAGTTAATGTGAGTATCACTAAATAATAATAAGATGATATAATTAATCCTATAATTATGACAGTCAAACTTATAAGTTATTATAAATATTAGCAGTAAAACGTGAAAAAATTTCACAGAATTACGTATATAATGATTTGTATAGGGAGAGCTATTCACTGCCTTACGACGCTTTGGTGAAGAAACATTGGTTTGGAAGCCGATCTCAGTTTTTCAGAGACTACATGAGCGATTCTGGCGCTACGCTGCCAGACTAATTCCCTTGTCCTCTCATGATTGCTTTCCACTCGAACCTATAGCAATAAAGAATTCGTCACATGCAAAAAAAAAATATATTTTTGTAATATTATGGCTAAACTAGAACTATTTTTATTGATTATTTTAATATAGCAATATTAGATTAATCGTTATACCTGTTTAGGTTGCAGGACTTTAATGGAATGTAAAGTTGCAACGCCTTGATTGTTAACTCTCAATGTTAGTTTTCCCACCATTTCAGCTGTTGTTGCTGTGGCTGATTTGATTTCCTTCTTCCGTCCAACCTACAGTAAGAAAATATATTATTCACGGTTTTAATTAATATTCAAATCACGCCGTAATTGAATTATTAAACATACCTCTTTTTCAACTCTCAATGTAAGCGGTCCTACTGCGAAATTACTTTTAATTGTTGTGTGATCAGACATGATGTTAACTGCAACATCACCGCTTCTTCTTAAAGTCGAGAGTCCGTAGAGTGTTCCCTTGGCTCTGGGTTTGCTCTTCTCGCTGGTTTTCACTTTGTTTTTAATGGCTGGCTTCTTGGTCGTCGTTTTTGGTGGTGGTTTAGGTTTCGCCTTAGGTTTCGTAGTCTTATTTGGTTTTGGTTTTGCAGTGGTTGTTTTTGCTTTACTGATAGGATTTTTAGAAGCTCTTGATTCGACGGCCGTAAGTTTTAAATTTTCATTTGCAATAATTTCATCTTTAGTGACAGCGTTTTCAATTTCATTTTTCTGTTCTATTTGGTTAGTCACATTTTCAGCTTTTTTATTAGTGATTCCACCACGACCGGAGTTCTTCTTTTTATTTGATGTTCTGTTAAAAACAAAGTCATGAACACAAAATTAGAAGAAACTAAAGGTTAACCTACTCATTTTAAACCTATCAATACGTGAAGTAACAAATTATACCTCTTATTTGTCTTTGTCTTATTCTTCTTCGGTTTCGTGGTTTTCTTAGTAGCATCAATGGGTTGGAGTTTCACGTTGACAGGATCATAAGAACGCCTCAAGATATCATTCATTTTTTCAAGAATATTATCCACAAACCTATTATACTTCACAATATAAATTGCTGGTACTGGGACAGGTTTCTTTGGGGGTTGTTCTAAAGCACCTGAACAAGTTATGGGGTTATTATTATTTCGTAAACAAAACATAAAATTTTCTTAAATGTTTATATTGCGTCATCTAGAATGTAATTTAACTTTTCAAAACAGAGGCAAATAACTTGCCGGAGAATTTTTTAAATTTCACTACTTAAAATGTATTCTGGTTCATTTAACTTTCATTAACTCCTACCTATGATCCGACACACAAACCCTAGAAACATACCATACAAAAGGTTGCTTCTTAATCAAACATTTTTTTTTTCTGAATGTCATCCATTAACTGTTTTAATAATAATTTATTGATCACACTTTAAAAACCAAATTCTAAATATACTCTTATACGTCTGATCTGATTTTCTCTCAAAATATATAAGAACTAATCATTTGGTTAATGCTTGGTTGCAAACCCTTCTGCCCTACAGTGAAATTACAAAAACAGGTACCTAACAAGATTTTGATAAATATATAATTTCTAATAATTTTCCCAACCTAAAATTTCAAAAAAATAAATGACTCCAAAAATATCCAACATATAATTAAATGTTACGATTGCTTTTGCATTTTATTACTTTTTCTATCTGAATAGTTTCACTTATATTGTGTTTCAGAATTTTAAATATTTTTATTATTATTTCATTACCACTATATTGCGAATTTTATTTATAAAGGCACGAAAGTGTTCAATTTATATCACGCATAAAATCCGTTACACGTTACTTTAATTTCTTTCATAAGAACTAACGTAAAAATAAGTCCAATTTCACGATGCGCCGAGTGTTTTTTTTTGTCTATTAATAAAAATAACAAGCGGTGTTCCAGTCAAAAGGTTCCGTAGCAACAAACACTTCACTGCGTTGCAGTAAATTGTCAAAAGTGTGTTTTGTTTAAATTGCATGTGGTTTCAATATTTTTTATTTTGTCAAAAATTCGATTATTATGTTATTATTTGATTATTATGAAAAACCTGTTTATATTTTAAAATTTATCTTATAGTCAAACATACTATTGAACAATGAATATCTCTCAAATAAAATTCCCATTACTATTATATTTCCGTGAGCATCTTTTGGATACTGAACCCTAATAAAACAATGAAAACTAATTTTACAGTTAGCCTACTTCGGTTGCAGTAATTGTTCATAAAAAGAGACAAGTAACAGCTAAGAATGTTGTTCAGTGTTCTTCTTGAATAACGATCCATACAATTTACTAAAAATAATATTAAACTATACTACTGTTGGCTCATATCATGGTTCCATGTTATCACGCAACTCAATTATGCATTGGATTTATAATTCATACAGCACCACATCTAATTCTATTCACGTTGAGTGGACACGCCAAGTTAACTGTTTCTGTATCTGCGAGCCAAGTTGAATTCTAATGTCTATCGACAATTAATAGGACTAGTCAACGGTGGATTTTCTATTTTCCACACGTAAAAGAAACTGCGTGCCGAATCGTTTGCGTTCCAAGAAAAATAATTATACAATTATGCGGATACTCTAACAGGAGCCAAAGGACTCAAATTATAAAACTTTTTGTGTGCCGTGAAGTGTATCCTTGTCTATAATATTCTTTTAAATAGTCTTGTGAATATCAAGCAGTGACAGAATATTTTCTTTTCATTGAAAGAAATTAGTCGAGTCGTTTTAGGCGCTGACGGTAACAAACGAGTTTCATTTAGGTCGAAAATGACTACTCCACTCTCCCAGAATTTCTCGACGACAAACATTTTAAAATTTCTCTTTTCGCATCTCATTAGTTCGTTTTCACTTAACTGGACGAATCGGCATGCATATTTTACGATTATTTCGTAATTTAGTGAGAGTAAACAATTTATTCGATTTACTTTCTATCGTTTTACGATGGTTAAATTGTCCGTCAAGGTCATTTTCAGAGCAGCACAGGACAAGGTCAAAGAAAGTGTCAAGGTTGTAAAAGAAATCGGGTGGGATCAATGAACCAGTCTCGGATGAGAAAGTAAGCGGACGACAGGCTTCGTACACGCTGTCGACCCCTTAACATAGATATATGAAACTAGTTCCGCCTTAACAGTCTCAAGAGCACGGTGTCCGGCCTTAATTGATATGTACATGATTTCTAGATCTATATCAGGCGACAGGCTCAGCTATTCCATATATAAATTATAGGGTTATACAGGGAATATTTTTAAAGGATATATAAATTGTTATTGCGGGTTAGGATTCATATTTTTGTGCGTCAAGCTACATACATAAATCGGTCAAAAGCTAGTAAATATATATGTAAATATTCTATTTAATAAATAATAATAATAACCTGAATCATGAATATGTTTAGGCTGTAAAATATTAATATTTTTTTATTCGATATGGAGGGGAATGTTTATATAAATATAAAGAAATTGACTAGTATACATTTATTTCAACAACATCCAAAATTAAATTAACATAACTAGATAATGTCACTCTTATCTGACAAAAAAAAAATCTATATTTTTGACCGATTGATGTTGAGCCATAAGATTTTTGCGTGAACGCACCATTATTAACAAAGGTCGAGAGAAATAATAATTAGAACAAAAATTAGAACAAACAGATTTATTTAAAAAAAATTGCCACGGAACTGGTGACATGATCTAGACATTAATTTAATTTTTCTCTTTTATGCCATACTTACACTTTCACACATCAAACACTCTCACTTAATAAATAAAATAAATAGAATAAATAAATAATCAATAAATAGCTAAGCTAAAGGAGGGGACCACGGGGGTCTCTCAGGTGGTTGTAAGGGCTAAATTCGCCCGATCTCTGATGCCTTTAAACTATCTGTACTTTTTGTGCTCAACGGCTGGGGCCGCGGCAATCGTCGCTTTGGTTTTCTTAATTTTCATGTGGCTGCTTTTTTTCCCACTTTTTTTTGAATTGGCTGCAAAACCCTTCAATTTTTTAGACTCACGTGCTTGTTTCGAACTCTTCCTGCTGAGAACTTCGGAGATATCATCATCTTCATCCTCATCTTCGTCATCCTCTTCGTCATCATCATCCTCTTCACCATCAAAAGCATCAGCGATATCCTCTTCCTCCTCTTCATCATCATCGGCATCAGCGTTAGCAGCAGCTTCCGAGCTGGCAGCAACGGGGGCTTCTACCTCAGCACTAGCTGGCTCTTTCTGAACACCTTCTTGTTCATCACCCTCGACAGCAGCTTCTCCAGCTTCCGAAGCTTCGGCTTCTTCAGAAACAGCTGCAGCAGCTTCTTCAACGGGAGCGGCTGGAGCAGGTGCGGCAGGGGAAGTATCAGCACTAGCAACTACAGATTGTACTCCTGAAGGTTCATCATCATCGTCATCGTCTTCTCCTCCTATAAACATTAATTAAATATAATTTATGATAATTACGAGCTTATAAAATAATATGAATGTCTAGTTTTCATCAGTATTCACCTCCTAAGATATCATCAAAGAATCTTTCCAAATAGTCGTCATCCTCATCATCTTCACCCTCCTCATCAGCCTCTTCGTCATCATCGTCATCGTCGTCATCATCATCGTCGTCGTCTAAAATAAAATAATTTATTTATATTTTTTTTATTGCATTAACCCCAAAAACTCAAAACAATTCCAATATTTATCAAAAATATTCCAGTTAAAAATGTTCGGTTTTATAAACATACATTAATAAATCATAAATGAAGATTTATTACAATTACAACAACTTAACAAAGTAAACTACTCAGTGCGTGACGTCCTATACAAGGCTCACAACTTGTAGAAAGCAGTATAGCACCAATTTCTCTTATTGAGTCTTTCTGTTTGAATTAATTAACTAATGAGAGCAGCTGTCACGCTGTTCGATCACATTCCGCTGGTCCACGTCCTGATTAATTGGAATTCTTTTAAAGTCACGGAACACTTCTAACATTAATCCAAAATTATTACATTATTTACTTGCAATTGAATCCAATTTGATTAATTAACTAAAACAATATAACTGAAATTATATGTATAGTGAAATATTGAAAAAAAAAATAATTGGTTTTAACAATATGTTAGCAAAGGTTTATTGTAGTTGTTTTATTAACTATTACAGTTATGTCAAGTATTTGATCAATAGAGGAAGTTATTAAACTGCATCTATTTCAAATATTTATCCTATATAACAATTATATACGCAGGTGTTAATAGAATTCCTTAAGAATTTTTCTAAAACCTAAAAAAAAGGAAACCTATTTTAAAATTATAATAATCACATATATTTACATGTGATAAACCGTTATATTATTTGCTTATACCAACGGTAAAATCTTCAACATGTCAATGACTCCTAGCAAACTGAAACCGTTATAAATGATAAAACATATTTTTATTGACGATTATGTCGATTATTGCAGTTCAAAAATCTTCTATAGTTTTAAAATTCTGAAGGACGTGAAGGTATAAAGATTTATTAAAAAAAATTACCTGATAATGGGTCGTCGAGATCGACATCATCATCGTCGTCATCGTCATCGTCATCATCGTCTGTAGCCGCTGGCTGTGCAGCAGGTGGTGCAGCGGATTGTCTGCCTACCTCCTTTTGCTCCTCATCAGGCCGTGTGATAGGGCTCGCATAAGCCGACAACACTAAGCAGCATACCGCCGCTAACAACAACGAAAACCTCATCTTGTATCTGAAACAAACAGAGGTCTTTAGTCAGAAACCTCATCAACCACGGCGACAGTGCCCTGTCAAGCCAATGCACTGACACTTTTGCTATTCAAAACACAGCACTGTCACAACACATGCACTATCCTAAGAGCACTTCACCTTTGACTTTTCACTTGTAAGTCCTAGGGCTCCAGCGGAAGAGGTTCCGCTCGCGTCCTTCTGTGTCGGTGTGCGGGACGCTATGACCGAGGCAGGCGATCGGAAACGGTATAGCAGCGGCGTCTTCACAACACTCTCTTTTATAGAGTTACGTCACACACGCAGGGAAGGAAAGTAGTGATGGTAGCCGCTGGACATAGATCAGCGACCGAGTAGACTTTCTCTGCCTTTAAACATAAAACTCTGATAAAACTTTGTAATTCTTAGAAAAGCGCCAGGTTTTCAATTCTTTAAATATTATATTTATATTTTTTTGATGGTTTATGTCGATAAACAAATTTTGGACTTACGTAACACTATACACTCATCGGTCATTCGACAGCCGTCATAAGATAGTATCTGTTATGGTACCTCTGTTTATAAACTATTCTTGAGCCCATGCCGCGTAGAGGGGTTGGTTAAGTTCGATTTACTAATTTATTCAACTTATTTGACGACTGGGCATGTCTCTTTGGAGAAAAGTATCGTGGCGTGTGGTTTCGGAATCTTAAAACGTTTTAGACATTAGTATGTGAGGACCAGGCCCATACTTTCACTTAAAATTATGTATGTAAACGCGTTAAAGGTGCAATTCATAACGTGACGTAAAATCAAAGGCAATTAATTGGGAAATATTGCCACTTTTACTTTTATGTTCATGAAATTTATAGATTTAATAGCACAAATAAAACTAATTGAGTCGGTAAATCATTTTAAAAATTAGTAACATGGAGCTGATTAAAGAATAGAACACTTTAATTAACTCTCATCAGCCATACGTCTTTGGTTCTTATAGGTTTGCAGGAAAAAAAATCATCTTTATACTCGTTACAAGTATGTTTCATAAGCCATTGCTTTGTTAATTTCTTGTAAGTATTTTAAATACTATCCCTAAAATTACACAAGTTTCGTATAGGAACTTGTATTCCTTACAAAAGGTATTAACTACCACTGAAAAAGATTTATAGTAACTTTGATAAATAACGATGGAAATCAACGTATATATTACATGAGACATAATTTATTTCTTCCTGCCGCTGTTAATATTTTAACGATCACCTATATTGATATAGTTGTGTTACAATACTATGAGACGCTATAAAGTTTTCAATGTTGTTTAATATACTAACCATTAATATATAAGCAATATTTACTCCGCTCAGAGGGTGTGTTTTCAAGTTTTGCACTTTAAATTATTAACTTACTTAAAGTACATATTTCTATTTATTAAAATTAACATAGATATGTACTTTTAGTATATGTAAGTCAGTGGTGGCCTAGTGGTTAAAGAGCTCGCCTCTCGTTGCCGAGGGCGCGGGTTCGATCCTCGCCCGGGCAAGTACCAATGTGATTTTTCCGAGTCATATGTACTTTCTAAGAGTGTTAAGACATCACTGATTAATGCATTCCCAAAAGAGAGTTGATGTCAGGCAGGCGGCCGGTCGTAAAAACAAATAGCCAAAACTATTCACAACATGTAAGGCAAACCCTGGCTATAGCTGGGAAATTGCCAGGTAGAAGAAAGATGTACTTTTTAAATATTTTAAGTAAGAAAAATTACAGAATATACTATAGAAAGTACATAAATTTATACGTAGTTGTTTTATGTTTCACGTAAGATAATAATCATTAAGAAAATTAAATTCAATAACTATATTAAAGGTACAATATTAATGAAAACAATGACAATGAGTACTTTTGTAAAAAAATATTTTTAACATATTAATTTAGTAAATTAAAACTATTATTAAATTGTCATAACTCGAAACTTCTTTAACATGAAATAAGGTTTACCATTTGACAAAATATCACTTAATAGAAATGTTAAGAAGAAATCAATAAATTAATTTAATTGTGGTATTTAAGACTTTAAGGATAACATATTTAAATGAGACTAGGATTAATATACTATTTTACATCCAACCCAATGTTTCGATTTATTTAAAATAACCATAATCGCGAGTACAAGATGAAAGTTTTCAATTTCGTAACATATCCGAAAATCATAGTTTCATTTAAAAATCGATACTGTTTATACTTGTTTTTTATTACAGCCATGATATAAGTTTCTCTCATACATTATGATATACGAGAGAAATTCATATCAGATATAACATTAGAAACGCAAAATAAAAAATATAATCGTACACATAAAACATGAATCATGTTGTAATTTTTACTTTAGCTAGAGAAAATTAATTCAAACGTCTTTATGATCGAGTTTCTCAGCCAGTGGTTTTTCCGATCTCAATGGGCGTTACAAATCGTAAACGATTGATATCGCGATACAGTCCGGAGCGAGGTTGAAACAAGTTCTCGGTATTTGTAGCCATCAAATATTTGTATGCAGCTTGTGAATGGACTTCGAAGACTTTCTCTCCAACAGTAACACTCACACAAACGGCGCTCCTTTGGCCATTGTTACGTTGAATATCTAAATAACAGACACTTGCTAGTCTGACTTTATTATAATGCATAATTAATTGATAACCTAACATGATTTTAGACTTAGACTTGACAGACTATATTACTAAATGCATAATAAACAATATTGGATAGTAATAAATCATTTGTTTCACTTCATTACCACGTATAGTAATTTCCTTGTCAAGATAAATAAAAGACATCTGTGACTGGGTTTTCTTTCAAATGTCTCATTTCAAATTGTTACTCTAACAGTAACATACCAAAGCGACGCATCCAAAAGTTGTGGTAAGGTCAACGAATTTGCAACACAGTTCGGTTGCTCTAAATATTTGTATTACTCATACTAAACTGTTCCCGAAAGGGAACGGAATTATTTAATTCGTTAGCTTATATCAATAATATTTCTAAGCTACTCTTGAAATCGCCTCAAGCAATGTACGTACATTTCATTAAAAATATTTAAAGATAAAACTATCACAACTTTCGATTATAAAATAACTGTTCTTAATTTTATGTAACAATAAAATTTTATATTTAAAAAGCATATTTCTTCGAAAGAAAGCAAGATAACATGACGTATCTTACGTAACTAAAGAATACGCTTGAAGCAAAATTCAAAAGCCATTTACAGAATTCTCTCTTCTCTCCGGATATTAAATGAAAGTTGTTCTTGTTTACTTTATTATCCAAATATATTGATGTCGTTAACGGAAACGCTCAAATTTTTTTATGAATATTCATATTTCTACTTTATATATACATACGGGAAAAATTCATGAATTTCGTTCTATATACCTCTGATTATATTTACTTTAATGACATAAACAAAATTGAACCTTATACGCATATGTTTATGTATGGTATTTGAAAAATTTATGACCTATTGTTAAAACTAGACAGTTTATTGCTTCGTCTGCTATAAATCTATCTGCATTGTATATATCTCGGCGCACAATCATTGTAATAAGTTATGTCAACCAGCGTCATGTTTCGTGTCAATTCTGATAGGAACACGCTAACGGTGATACTATAACATGACATGGTTGGCTTTAATAGCTTTACATGACTTCTATTACTTGTACAGTTTTGTAAACCAAATACTACTACTTGGTTCAGCAAAAAGCTTAGAAGAATTCATCTATTCTATCATATATAAAATGTACAAATACAGGTCACTACTTAGCATTAATATGCCTAGAAATTTTATATAAAATAAACTTGCTGGAGAAAAATATTTTGTGTGAAATATATTCTATCAAGAGATATAATAATTTTAAAACAAAAATTCTATTTCGAAAGTCGATTTCAAACATAAATAAATTGTTTTGACTTTCCAAACATAATTTATTCAAAATTTGGTTGCAAAATCTCGATGAGCCAGATTCTTCGAACAAAGTTATGTTTAATATCTTATAAAGGATAATTTAATTATTAAATGATTGATTATAATTGTATGTGTGACCTAATAAATCTGACTTCAATTGAACGACCTTGATATGGTCGACGTGAAGTAACGGGGCCTAGGGCTAGTGTTACAGAGTAGGTAACGAATATAGGTATCCTGTTTAACTTTTAAATAGTTACTACGGAGTAAAAAAAAGTTCTACTTAAAGAAACTTAGTTAAAGGAATTTCTAACCGGAGTTTCTTGTTTTTAAATTTTCTATTCTATATATGTATATCATCAGAAAATATAACGAAAACAAATAAAATCTTGATAAAAGTACACATGATAAGTCTCTATAGGAAAACTTAATACAGTTAAGATATGTTTTATAGAAAAAATACACGATATTTATTAAAATCTAAGGCGTAACACTTAATCTGTGGCTACCAAAGACCTGCGTGGCCCACTAACGACCGGTTGTTGGTACTTTCTTTCGAGCCTTCTCACTTCCGCCTGCGGGCCTCCACGCGTCAGGACAACACCCATTTGACGCCAACGAATGGCCCAACCCATGACATTATTGACAAATATTTCCTATACTCTAAACACAATTACTATATATCAACATATGGCTATATTAAAAAACAGCTTGAAGTAATGTTCAGTATTATTAATCTGATAAGCAGCGGTCTATTGCAACGGGACTTATATTTGTTTTGTTCTACCAATGTTTGCACCAATATGTTACACGTAGCTCCAATACATTATTGGTAACTGGGTTTATATGACACTATTTAATATTAAAATGATGTACGGCCAATGAGTTTTAATTACGAATCGGAAATATAATTACATTTTACGTATCCTTTTTTGCTTTAAATGTTTTATGAACAAAACACGTTATAGACAGACTGACTAGAATTTCTAGATTTAAGTAAAATAATTTACTGCTTATATTCTCAATAAATTGTTTAAACCAAACAAAATATGTTATGAAAAACTAATATATATTTTTAAACGTTAAGAAAGCGTCTATGACTTTAGAATATTTTTAAGAGAGCCATCTATTGGAAACCTTTCAAACTAGAAAGATAGCTTCGTTCACAGAACACGAAGGCTGGATTGAATTATTCTTTCGTGTCTCTTTACTTCAACTTTCTAATGCATGTAGCGGAATATAGATGGCGCTGTTATCATTTTAATATTGTATTAAATCCGAAAAAAATCTGTCTTTATAACCTTCTATAAACACTAAACTAAAACAAAAACATTCTATTATTTCAATAAAAAAATGCTACGATTGTTTTGCAATGAAAATTTAATGGTTATGACATTTATTTAAAAGACATTTAGAATAATTTCGAACATTATAAGACACGCTAGACGCATCCGTTTTGTGTATGCACAAAACATTGAACTTTAAAACATTTTAACCTTAGAACAATGGAAGCACGTAATAAAAACAAGGATGTATGCCGATCTATTAGATCTGTACAAAGGAATGCGGCTGTCAATCGGATTAATCGGAACAATGTAAATATTTACTGAGTGTCGGCAATCTGGTGGTGTCTTCATCGTACCATTTAAATTAAACCTTTGTATCCTAATTATTCGCTAATTTCAAGTTAGGCAAATACGTATAATTAAACTAGTTTACCCCAAGTTTTACCTCAGATTTTGCTAAGTCTTTTCCCCTAAGGATTTCTTTGTACTAGAATCTATATAAGCATAATATATACTTTTAATTTATATTCCTATAACCAACGAATTATACTTACTTAAACACTTAACAGAAAATTGATTCAATTCAATCCAATAATACTTTATTTTTCTTTTGTATGTGATAGAAATTGCTCTTTATATAATTTAAATCGTACATCCTAACTATTTGATTTCTATAATAAATTCCATATACATTTTTAACTTTTTATACAAAAATATTTTTATACGTAATAATAATTGATTGGCAGTGTTCAGATGGCCCTATACGGCACACATCATGTGACTCGGGACAATGAAATCCTTGACATTTACTAGGTACATACCGTGGATTCGATTTGTGCAGAAAAAAATACTAGTGTATTTGATAATTTACTTATCATCAATAACACAATACCAACTAATCAATATCTCCTGCAATTAAAATATTTAAAATAAATGACTATTTATAGACTAATTCAATTTTTTCTATAATTTAATTAATTTTTTTTTTTTTGATTTTTTGGTATTTCACAATACTTTCAATACTTCGATCAGTGATTCCATGGTAACAGCATCACGTCACCATCAATATTTTGATTATCGATAATCGTTGTACACAAAAGCAATTAAAGAATATTCCGACCGAACATTTTTTACTCCAAGACCATAAATTCGTTCATCTGTACCTTATTTAATCATTTTTGTATTGCATAAGATAAATATAGTTAGATTTTTATTATAAAAATTCTATGAATTCATTTGATAAGACGGAACTCTGACGGTTTTTCCGTATTATTCCTTCCAAGATTTCTTGATGGGATATACCTCTGCTTCCTATACATCATTTATTACGCATCATGTTTTCCCAAAACACATTTAATGTAAACATATATATTATTTTAATATCACATTCTTGGAATTATTCTTATTCATCATGAATACAAGTATTTATATCAAGACGCCACTGTAGTCTATATCCAATTAACAATGTTTTTTTGATAAAGTTATTATATCAATAAATCAATAAAACAATCTGATAATTGTTACTGATTTATGAATCTTTGTTTTAGAAAAATAAAAAAAATGTTTAAAAGATCCTTTTTGATGATTATTTAGTTTTTTTTCTTTTGTATTTATCAAAATATTTATTGTAGAATACAAAGCTTTATAAGCTAAGCTATGAAACAACAAGAACAATCTTTCTAAGGCATAAGCTAATAACTATACCTAAGGTAATAAGTATTCAGTTTTTTGTTCTTACTCTCACAAGTACATATAACGACATATTCTTTTATGAAGTAAGTTTTATATCAATAGTTTTATTTTTGTTATCTTCATATTAAATCAAACAAAAAAGTATTTAAAAACTACTATGAAAATAACATTGTCATACAAAAGACTTCAACGCGATCAAACTCGACGTGTCCAAACCATTCAATTTAATGTGTAAGTTAATGTAGTTTAGTTCTATTATATTATTATATACTATTATAAATTAAATCACGAAGAGTTTAAGGCTTTGATCCGGCTGCGCACGTGCAAGGTTCCAGCATCACATGACTGAGCAGCGGATGCCAGACAATTATGCAATTTACGCTATTAATGATATTATTTCATATAAATATGCATATAAATATATATATACATATATTTATATATAATATTTAACTTGTGATTCATATCATATGATGTGTCAAGTGTCATGTGACTGTAATTGGTTTTATAGGTGGGTGTCGAGAAAAGGCTGTTTTGAAATTATTAACACATGCAGAGAGCAAGAAATAATATGAAAGAATTTATTGGACATACGTGTAATGTTTACTTGCTTATATATAATATATTTTAAATCATAAAGAGTTGATATGAATTTGATCTCAATATACTGTCTCAATAATTTCTAAGACATATTTATTTACTTTGAGTTATGTTCTCATTACGTACTGTATAATGATTATAAATTAAAAAAATATATAAAATTAATTTTCATTGTTCACTATATCATAACTTATTCCTTTAAAAATATAGTTACATACAAACCGTTCTATAAGTATTAATAAAAATAAGTAAAAGTCAGCTTCGTACAAACGCTAGCATCCTTGAACTTATCTTATTTCAAGTACTTTTTTGTCATAATACATAATAAAAACCATAATATTATAAGTATCATTACATCCGCACGGAATATTTTTAGAGTCAACGAGTAACTCTTCTATTGGGATATCTGTTAGTACTATTGTATTGGAAATATTTATTATGACTTTTTAAAGCCTTTACTCTACTATGTAGTATGTATGTAGGTATATATTTTAGGAAGTACAGATATGAAACGAAATATTTGTAGTAAAAACAATATTGTTACAAAACGCTTCTACTCCAAGAATCAAACCATTAAATTGCTTAGAAATATTTTTAAATACTCCTTAGATAAACATTTAAAAATGTCTTTGCTTTTAAATTGTAATGGTCAGTAATTCCATTTCTACCACTTAACATTGTAGGTACTCTCTTTTATCTCATATTAAATAAATTAATTATTAAGTAATTAACAATGACATAATTTACTTATTTTGACTTTGACATAGAATTGACTTTAACAAAACACTGTAGCCTAATAAAACCTCTTTTAAAGGCAGAAACGAAACCTCTCACCATTCCATGGATTGACGGGTTGACGGGTCCATCGTGTTGCAGGGAGAGGATCTTCAACAGAGCCTGGGACTTGCGACCCAGGTGTAGGTTTAAGGGGCCCCTTAACTAACGCGCGTTATACGCTCACATCAACCATCCAAGCTCCTTCCCTCTCTAACCAAATCTGAAACCAACCTACTAAGGCTTTTTCGAAGTACGTTCCAAGAATACATTGGAGTTAGGTCTGGATAGGTACAAGTCTTTTAGTAGGTTGTAGAGAGATTTTGCTGTTATATATCGCGCTCCAACTTCTACCGCGTACAAATTTACGACGAACCTATTCTATGTGAGCTCGTAATAGTTGTTGACTTTGGGGATATTGGTTTACCAAGGAACCGTCAGCTCTATTAACACAACGCACTTTTAAATTCGATAATACAAAAATATCCTCTGGGATTTTGTATTGTTTCTTATTCATTCATCATTATAGTCCAATCCGGAGCCGCTCTAATGATAGAATAAGGCTTGACGTTTGATTTTATATCCCTAGTACCTTCTCTCACAAAAGCCATTTCCCTTTTCCCATCCTTTCCTACCCCTTCCCTTTTCCTCCCCTTCCCATTTTTCCTTCCCCTCTTCCCACATCAAGGGTGGTGACACATCCGCAACATATCTTATGTCGCGGATGTCTATGGGTGACGGTACTACCTCCATCAGGTAGGCCGTCTGCTCGGTTGCCCCCTTTAACATAAAAAAAGCCATTGAGAGCTGGCTTGTTGAGAGCTGGCTTTTTGCGCTCTGGCTACCGAAATACTTACCGCTTCACGTATTATTTCTAAAACTCTATTGTGACGGCGCTTGCATTGACCGCTGACCCAAGAATACCCTACATCCTACCAGCAAAATACTTAACAGTTCAAACTGCCTCCCCGCAGATATAGCAAGTTTGTTTGGTACCTTTACCCCATCTCACTAAATTACTTTGACCTGGGAGAGTCATCTGGAACACATTGATATAAATTTAAAGCATTTTTTTACTATAAGGATTATTACTATAAGGATTTAAAGGACGCTTTAGAAATAAACAAATATACTTATTATCTTTACCTAGATATTGATCTTTTTTGTCATAATTTACTTTAAAAGTTAACTTAGAAGAAAAAAATGTTAATACATTGACTACCAACCCAGTAATTAGTGTGAGAATTTTAATAAAATAATATATGTGTATTCTTGAAATCCAG